ACTCAGTATTTCGATAGAAATACTCATCCAATCTTAATGAAAATTTCAGAGTATGTACAACTTTTGATGCTCTATCAAACCATATAAAAACTAGGTTAAAACATTGAGTTGAGAAATTTTTTGAAAATTCAAATCCCTTATGAGGCAGTATGGACTATATAGGTTAGGGTATCTCTAGCGCAACCAAAGTATGTCCGTTTTCCGAAAAAATTGGAGGATATATGCAGTTTTAAATTCTCTACAAAATGGCTGAAAAAAAACTAGGGGTTAGGGGGTGGTCAGCCCCCCCCCCTTAATCAGAGTGAAGACGAGCTCTATAAATAAAAAAATAAATAAAAATTGTTCTTCGTTTTATTTGATATCGATAACTTAAGTTGCTCGATCTTTTTCTCCTTGTCTATGTCATTGCTCAAGTAAGTCACCATAAAACTTCGATTGATCTTTTGTTTTTGTTTATTAATATCAATACCAGGTATGTGACCACGACCGAAAATTGTATTTGATGTTTTGGGTGTGGGTGTGAGGGTGTGGGTGTGAGGGTGTGGGTGTCGGTGTCGGTGTCGGTGTGTGATTGTGTTCCGAAGGATTAATCACACCACACCCTTACCTACACCTACACCCACACCCACACCCACACCCGCGTCAGTGATTCAAAAATGGATTCTAGTATTTTTTTAATGTTTTTACATGGTTTGATAGAGCTTGTCGAATTCTACAAAACTGTGTATTTTAAAACAATTTAAGTCACTTTTCTGACATAGAAAAATTAAAAAGCACTTGGAAAATGATGAAAAATATGAAGAAATTCAGTTTTTCATTTGAGAGAGAAATACTCAATTTTTCAATAAAAAGAGCTTTTTTTCATTATTTTCACTGACACACACATTTTGAAAGGTAATCATCAGACACAGGTTTTTACGCTGCATCTCGTGACTACTTTTCAAAACATCTATGTCAGTGAAAATAAAGAAAAAAAGCTCTTTTTATTGAAAAATCGAGAATTTTCTCTCAAGTGAAAAAAGTGAATTTTTTCATATTTTTTATCATTTTCTAAATGGTTTTCTAAATTTTCTATCTCAGAAAAATGGCTTAAAATTTTTTTTAAATATATAATTTTGTAGAGCTCCACAAGCTCTATCGAACCATGTAAAAACATCAAAAGAAAATATTAGAATCCATTTTTGAATCACTGACGCCCTCGTTTTCTGTCCCAAAAAAGCAAGCAATTTTTAAAGTTCTGCATGAAAAAGTTTTGATAACCCTTACAATTTAGTATCAAAAAACCCCATTTTCGATGCGCTTTAATTTGGTATAAAATTAGTTAAATGTGCTATTTTAAATTATAGTATTACTCACCTGGAAAAATATTTTTACCCATCCTGTACTGTGTTATGATGTTGTGTAACAAAATGAATCATACTTGTTTTTATTCGATCGGAAAAGTCCAACACTTTCAACCTATATTTAAGAGAGACAAAATAGGTTCTTCAAAAATCATTAGAGTCATATATTTGAATTTGACAACATTTCTTGATTGATTTTAAAAGTAAGCAGTAAATACTTAACCTTATTCACTTACTCACTTTGATGTCTTTAAAGTATTCGGCATAACTAGTAGGATGGGCTGAGTACAGATCCAAATATTAGCTTCATCTCATAAATTTATGTGACATTCAAAAGAGAGATCTATTCAACTACTCTTACTTTTGCTCTATACTTTGATGACATAACATTCGCGTCTTTTTTCTTAGAAAATTTTTATCAAGCAAATAATATTTCATACTATATTTTATAGAATGACGTATCAAAAATGCCAATATATTGATCGTCTTTATGACATTCCAATATCGACTATCGATAGTGAAGAGTTTGTTCTATTAGAAAAAATACAAAATTCTATCAATTCAGGTATAAAATATTTTACTCACAATGGTTTACTAATACCATTCGAATGTGATGGACAAGGCAATAAACTAAAACCATATCGCATTCGAACTTTTATTTCTGATGTAATTTACTGTTACAAACGACTACCATCTGAAACACATAATAATGCAATGATACAAATGGTTCGAGATATTCATAGAGATGTACCTATGATTCGTGAAAATACAGAGATTTTAAAAAGTAAAGTTGATGCTATCCTTCGTCAAACATTCGAACTAGCTGAATTTACTATACCTCGACTATTCATTGTTCTACCAGAAGAAACAGCTACTTACAATCCTGAAAATTGGTTTCACTATCGTTATCGATTGTATTTTCTATGTGAATGTGAAGATGATCATGAACGTCATCTAGCATTTCATGATGGTTACGAAATAAAACAACCTCGTGAATTCTTAATTAAATATGGACATCATACACGTCGAATGTTAACATTAGTAAAGTACGCTACAACCATCGGTAGTATTGTTATTCCATCGATTGGATCTTTCAAGCCAAATAATTCGATTCCAAATGTTTTTAAAGATCGATTTATGTGGGGAAATTTTAAACAACAACTCGAACAAATGAATGAAACTCTCGAAATAGCCGAGCGAACTGTTGACTTTTCAACAGATCAAGCCGTTCAACATTTACAAGGTGCAGAACTTCGTAAAATAAAACATTTTCTAAGACGAGTCGATAATCAACAAACATTAGGTAATTTATATCTTACAACAACAAATGATGGACATATTCGATGGGTGTGCATTCAACATTATCAAAATCCTTATGCTGACACAATTCTTCAAGAATTACAAAAACGTTTTCGAGAATTAGGTGGAGAAATAAGAAGAGAGTCAGCTGTAATTGAAGGACAAGATTCGAAAAAATTATCACAGTTATTAGATTTACTTCGACAAGGTTTATCTATCATTTCAATTACTTTCAAAAATATTAAATTTGAAGAAAAAGATTTCAATAATTTATTAACATTTATTTCACAAAATACTCTCATTCGATATGCCGAGTTTGACAATATTCGTGTTGCGTACAATTTAAAACCTGATAAAAAATATCGAGAAATCATTTCAGAACTCAACACGGCATTACAAGAAAATACTAAACTCAATATTCAATATAATGTCGAAATGCCTTTAAACAAATTTTCGTCAAAATTATCCGACATTATTAAAAAGTCAAGTCCAAGATTATCATTTCGAATAGGTTCTATCGAATCAATTCCTTCGCTAGAGATTACGGGAACAAATCAATCTGATTTTAGTTTAACAGCAATTCATGCTGAAACAAAAAATGACAGACTAAATTATATTCAAGCATTTCAAAATGTGTGTTCAAGGAATTACAACATAACAAAACTTCATTTTCAAGGCAAATCATTCACTAGAGAAACTTGGTCGTATTTCTCTGAATTCGTGAAGAGTAGTCAAATGATACGAGAATTAACTTTTTATTGTCAATTAACATTAGAACAAACTCAAGAATTATGTACGATTTTGAAAAATAATCAAAACTTGATGATTCTACAATTAATTAATATATGGGAAAGTACTGATGAAATCGAAGGACTACAAGAATTTTTTCTAATGTTGTGTAAGAATTCTACTCTTCGTGAATTTGTCGCCATCAGTGAAAGTAGAACTTTGCCGCTAGATTTTATTGCTGATTGTCTCACAGAAAATCAAACTCTCGAAGTTTTGAAACTTCCAAAATGTTCAATTGATATCAATACTAATATTAAACTCATCGAAAATTTTCTTGAGAAAACTTCAATTCACACATTATCCTTGGAACTAATCGAAACAAATAGTCAACGAATGCTTGAAAAAATTGCTACTATCATTAACAATAATTTGAAAA